GTGATTGTTTATAAGTTTACAGGCTAAAGCATTCATACAAGCTTTTCACCTTCATCAACAATCACTGAACTTCTCTTGTCCATTTCTTGTGCGATCGCCTCTAACATTTTCCTTCCATCATCCTCTGTGACCTCACATCATCGTGAAATCCTTTATCATCCATTTGCAGAAGGTAAAGGACTCAGAGTTAGCAACATGACTCAAATAAATATCAAATTCATGTGTGAAATCTTTATAGATGTGTTCTTGCAAAAGACGTGTTGTTATTTTAGAGAAGCTATGATTAATTGGGTGATACATTTTCCTAAATTCTGCCTTTAGGTGAACCAGACAGCCCAGTTTTATTCACCGATGAAGTGAAAATCGAGGGCAACACCTTCTCTGTTCCTCTGAGACAGATCGATGATGGTGGTTCTCCTCTGCTACACTTCACAGTTCGTCACAGACAGGTATGACTCCATGTAGGGATAACGCTTTACAATAAGGGTCCCTTTATTAACTTTACTAAGTGCATTATTGAGCATTAATAAACCATTAAATAAAGTGCTAACAGCTGCTTTCATTTATTACATAGCATTGCTAAACGTAGTATTAAATGCATTATTAAGCAGTTAACTAATTACTGAACCTAAGGTTCCAAAATTCATTCAGTAATTATGATTAAGTATGCTTAAGTAATGCTTAAGTAATGCTTAGGCATCTATTAAGAATTTAGAAAGTGTTTTAAATGGATAAATGTTTACAATAAGGGTCAAATATTCATTTATTATTGATTAATTAATGCTTGGGAGTCTATTAAGCATTTAGAAAGTGTCTCCAAAGGGGATCAATGTTTTTACCTTACCTAACGTCAGGGAAGGGCTTCCTGATGACAAACACGATACAGCATCAGTAAGTCATGTATTAATTGTTTATTAATGCCCATCTAAGTAACATCCAAAGTACAGGGTAGAATAAGTAGATGCATTAGTTACTTGTTTGCTTATTTTCTGCAAATACACAACCATATTAAATGATTACTCTAATAATTATTTAGGGTTAATTAACACATTAAGTAACATGGTAATTAACACACGAGGTGCAAAGTAATTAAATAATAAAAGTGTTATTTAAATCTTAGTACTGCAGTAACTAAGGTTCAGTAATAGACATTAGTTAACTGCTTCATAATGCATTAAATAATATGTTTAGTAATGCTATGTGATGCATAAAATCAGTTGTTCACACTTTAATGGTTTATTAATGCTTAATCATTGTTAATAAAGGGATGCCTATTTTTACCCATGTAGGTTTACATCTCCCTTCTACGATTTGTCCATATGGGTTTATTATTTTCCTTTGCTCCCGTTGACCAGGATACAGAACAATCAATGTGGAAAGAAGATGAGCTGTCATCTGATGCTGATTCAGTCACACTAAAAGAACTCGCCTTCGGCTCAGACTATCAGCTGGAAATTTCAGCTGTCAACGCTAATGGTTCCTCCATTCCTGCCACATATAACTTCACCATTGCAGAACAGCCAGGTATACTCCTTGTCTCCTGGCTCAGACTATCACCTGCAGGGCAGCTGCGTGAATATCTCTGAGATTGTCTCCATTCAACACTTTGATTTCTTTCACACTGACTGAAGTGAACAGGATGACCAAAGGGAGTGTGGTTGGCGTCGTCATGCTGATCTTCTTGGTGGTGTTCCTGGCCGTAGACGCCACCTGCTGCTACAGAAATCGCTGTGGTCTGCTGATGACCATTGCTGTGAAACTGTTTGGGCAGAAGGTTCCAGGCCTCAAAAGGGTTGAGGAAGGAGAGGGAAACACTAACGGGTACGTTGATTCAAACGTGTAGGAGAACATTGGGCGTAAATGGCCGGGCTGTAACTTCTATCATTTGAATGTTTTCTGATTGCAGAGAAGTCAAGCTGAAGGGTATTTCCAAACCAAGAGGCAGTTTACAACAAACAGGACCTCAGACAGTCAGCAAGGAGGGCAATCACCTCACAGAAGTTACCTGTGACAAAGCCCCCCTCACCAAACATGAGTATGTTCATTCTTTATATGTTTTATGGCTTGCTAGCCTAACAAGCCATCCTATATTGTGAATTTATAGTCTGGCCATGACCCATAGACAGCGCTCAGTCAGGGAGTGGGGGTGTCTTTTAAACTGTCTCCGCATGCAATTAGACAACGATCAATGTACTCAACGCTGCAGGTGCCAGTCAACGGGGACAGTCCACCATACATTGTCAAAGATGACCCAAATACACTGTTTTTCTAAATAAAGGACTTAAGTATCTCTATCTGCTCTTGACTCAAAGAAAAACCCAAGTCTAAACAGTCCAAATTTTATGCCAAAGCCATTTCAAAAAGCTGCTGCCATCTTAGTTGTTCTGCTTCATCATATCATCCAGCCCACAAATCGATAGAGCGCTGTGATTGGCCCATCAAACTGATACAGCGCTGTAATTGGCCCACCAAATGATAGAGCGCTGTGATTGGCCCACCAAACGGATAGAGCGCTGTGATTGGCCCATCAAACCAATAGAGTGCTGTGATTGGCCCACCAAACCGATAGAGTGCTGTGATTGGCCCACCAAACCGATAGAGCACTGTGATTGGCCCACCAAACCGATAGAGCGCTGTGATTGGCCCACCAAACCGATAAAGCGCAGTGATTGGCTCACCAAATCGAAAGAGCGCTGTGATTGGCCCACCAAACCAATAGAGCACTGTGATTGGCCCACCAAATGGATAGAGCACTGTGATTGGACCACCAAACTGATAGAGCACTGGGATTGGACCACCAAACTGATAGAGCACTGTGATTGGCATAACACAATACTGATCAGGCCAACGATAGACCTGCTAAAGCTACAGTGGAGCACAGCTAGACCTGTACCTTTTGGGGTCAAACCATCTCAAGGTTCATAGGTCATTACTTTTAACAACCATAAAAATGGCTGCAATTTAGTCACATCTACAGATAAAGAGATAACAAAACTGGAGGTGTTTCTCAATGCCAAGGAACCTCATCTTGATGTCTTGGCCCTGCCCCGGTTGCCTAGGAGATACGACATCAGGAACTGCCAAGGCGTGTTCCAATGTTCATGTTCTACCGATACGTGTGTTCTCCGTTTGTTAGCCATTTAGCTAGCTGATCAAGTATATACGGGAGGTGCCTTGTAGCCTAGCCTTGGTCAAACATTTCCCAGAATCCACCGCAGTATTTTCAAAAGGATGATGGATCAGAAGACGGCAGCTACTTTGGGGGCAAATTTCAAGTTTAAATGAAAGTCAACTAATCTAAAATGTATTTTTTAGATCCAAAGAAGTTAGCTATGGTTAGTAAATTGCTTAGTAGTTGCAGCTTTAGTGGCTAGCATGTAGTAGCTCGCTCATATATTTAATTAACCCTCCCACTGTCCTAATGGGCGTGACCCCGTGAGGAAAGTTGACCATTGAGGAGGATTGATGGTTTGTTCCTTGAGGTCCATGTGGCAGGGGTGAGGAGTGAGCACCACCTCACCCCTGCCACATGGACCTCAAGGAATAAACCATCAATCCTGCTCAGTGGTCAACTTTCCTCGCGGGGTAACCCATAAAGACAGTGGGAGGGTTAAACAAATGTATACATAATTTTAAAAGTAAAAAGCACTTTATATATTTATATTGAAACTTATACGTATAACTGTAAGCCGCGGAGGCTGCTGTCACAGGATGCAAGTCTGTTCCATTTAACCATTTTGACCAAGGAAGGACAGTGTCCTTGTAAGGAAGGCACCTGGCCTCGCAAGACATCGCCTTGCGAGGCCAGGCACCTTGGAAGTGAGAAACACCCGGGATGTGTTAGAGTCGGTCAAAAAAACAAACTTGATATCATTTCAGATCATCAGTAATGCTTTCAGAATTCAACCAGAATGGTATCCTTTCTCAGTACAAGATTATCTTTTCATTGTGTTTTTATATTTTCCCCACAGGAAAGTACAGCCACCCCCCGCTGACGCGTGAGGCCGTAGTGTGAAGAAGAGTGAATGTTGCTGATGATGTACTGTACAGACAGCAAAGAGAAAGTTACCGAGCGGTCATGGGAAAGGTTCACCACAGCGACAGGCTTGGGTCAAAATGCGCTGAATCAGAGCTGATCCAGCCCTTGTGCTGGGGTATGAAATCTGAGCCTGAGTGTAACTCCAGATTGTTTGTTTAATGTTGAGATTATTCTGATGTTCATTAACAGGGTATTAATGTTGTTTAACAGGGTAAAACTCTTCAGATCGGCTCAACAACGATGAGACGATCTACCTGGCACAACAACTGTTTAGCAAAAGCAGTTTACTGTTTTTGGATATGTTTTTAGCATTGTTGCTAGCTTAATAACAGTACGTCTTGGCAGCTCCGATTAAAGTTCATTGGTGACACGATGTCTGAAGTTCTATTGCAAACTTGAGATAGAATAAAAATGACTGATTTCATTCTTTTTAAAAAGGTAAAGAGAAGATCTGGATTGGATCTAATCCCAGTTTTAGCACACGTATATGGATGATGAGCGCTGCCCGCTGAAAAGGGCCTGTAATGACCTTTCATGTATTCATCAGCCTTTGAGCGAATGTTTTTTATGCTGCAGCTTCTGCACTGTGACCGGCCGCTCAGCCTTTAACTTTGCCTTGTTATCTTATTCCGGCTAATTTTAGTTGTATAAGTTTAAATTTGATTTGAAATCTGCCGTTTTATGTTGCCATGTTGATTTGAATGTGTTGTGTTCTTGCTCCTGGAAAGCACATTGAACTGCTTCTGTGTGTGAAATGTGCTGTATAAATAAAGCTGCCCTGCCTTTAATATGAGAACATCTAAATGTATTTACAACTAGAGAAATATAAGTTATGTGTTCATACCACGTGATATATTTTCACAGCACAAGTGAGTATCACTTTGCAGATTTTGTGTGAAGAAAGCCTCCAGATTCCCTGAGTTTACCTGTGATTTTGCACTGCACTGTTTTTAATCAACACTGTAAATGGCTTCATCATCCTTTAATTAACATGTTCCAGTCTGGTAAACTTGTAAAATGGTGTGTCATGTATTTTATTTTTTTACTCACTTTATTTATGTTTTAGCTCGCTCTGGGAAACAGTAAAATCATAAATGGAAAATCTAATTTTTTTTATTGGTTTAAACTGACAAAAATAATCAGGCTTATCACACCAAGAAGGAAAATATGCTGATAAGGTCACCTTAAAGTTTTACTCAGAGTATCAGAATTGAAAAGAGCTTTGCATCCCAAATCCTGTAAAATTATGCAAAACAGCAGTTACTTTCTGTTCCCTACCAGTGTTATTTTAAATGCCAGGTGCCATCCCTTCTCCTTACACACCAGCACTCTAAACTTCTCTTCATTTTTATTAGGAGTACTCTTCCTGAGAAACTGTCAAACTGTATTTAAAATGTACTCAGATTTCTGGAGCAATGACCTTTTGATAGTTTGGATGTATAACATTTAGCTATAACGTTGGTTTTAGGCACATGTCTTAAGAAGCATTCACACTGAACTTCCTCAGAAATTTCATTCAGTTCAAATTCAGTTTATTTATAAAGCACCAAACCACGACCAGAGTCGTCTCAAGGACCTTCACACAGTAAACATTCCAATACAGGTCAGGTCATTAAGCCAATCAGTAAAAAGTTATAAGGAACCCAGCAGGTTGCATCAAGTCACTGACTAGTGTCAAGAGTCTTTACAGCAATCCTCATACTAAGCAAGCATGCAGCGACAGTGGAGAGGAAAACTCCCTTTTAACAGGAAGAAACCTCCAGAGGATCCTGGCTCAGTATAAGCAGCCATCCACCACGACTCACTGGGGATGGAGAAGACAGAGCAGACACACACACACACACACACACACACACACACACACACACACACACACACACACACACACACACACACACACACACACACACACACACACACACACACACACACGCACGCACACGCACACACGCACACGCACACGCACACGCACACACACACAAGTTCTTCAGTGTTCCAAACCTTTAGAAAAGAACATTTTGGTCTTCTTATCTTAAAGAATCAGAAAAATGTTTCCTAATATTTGTTTTAATCTTATCTAAAATATAACAACAATAATAATAATAATAATTATTATTATTATTATTGTTATTATTATTATTATTATTATTATTATTATTATTATTATTATTAAGGAAAAGAAGGAGGAGAAGAGGAACATTTTTTAAAATAAAATTGCAAAATTTACATAATAAAAACACTTTTTAAAAATTATTTCAAAATCAAACTCACGTGTGGCATTAGCAACATCAGAACCCACTCAAACATCGTTTATCTTTTATTATTTAGCTAAAAACACAATTACAATTGTATTTATGTAACAATGATAAACCAAACACAATGGTGGTATGAGTCAGTGTTAAACCCAGGTAGCTACTTCCTTCATAATAAAACACTGTGTCAATTTGGCAGCAGGGGAACTCGCTCTAACAGTCTTTTATTTTATTAATAAAGCACATTTCAGACACAGAAGCAATTCGTTGTTTTTTTGGTGCAGGAGAACTGCAAAAACATTCATCAAAATTTCAACTCAACGTGGCAACGTTCAAACTGCAGACTTTAAAATGAAATGCTAAATACAGAAATAAAATTATATGTAAGAAATAAAACATCTAGAATGTTTGACAAGAGCTCCACGGTGCAGCTGGTTAAGGAGCACATGAGCCACAGGAAGACTGGAGTCTTCCTGAAGCTGCAACAAGCACAAGTTTTTATTCACTTGGGACTGAATGAAGTCAAAGTTTACAAAAATAAATAACACCGTTTTTATATCATTTTTGAAAAACATATCTTTTTATTTCATTCATGTGATATCCATCTAAATAGTTTAACTATGTTGATCAAAAATGATTTTCATCTTTTTTAATGAAAAAAAAGGTATTTATTTAGCTGTAAGCTGTAAACCTAAACTTTTAGAGCTAGAGATCAAGTGAATAAAGACTTTATAAACAAGTTGTTACCAAAACTAGTTTAAATGAGTTAAATGTAAAACAAACGGACAGGTAAGACTTGCAGGTTAAGGTTGGGTGATCTTCCTCTTTGACCCTAGAATAACAAAAACCGCCTGATGGTTCTTCTGCAAAATACTATATTTGTTCATAAAGTCGAGTCTGACACACCTGCGGAGAAGTCAAACAGGTGACTTAAACAGCTGCAGATGTGCAGCAGCAGCTGCTGCTCTGGGAGGCCACGCCCCCTGCTAGTCTGATGCTTTCCTGCTGACAAGATGCACGTGACTTTGCGTGTTTACACCAGGTTTACACCTGCGGACACCGTGTCACACACCCGTTGTGTCCGTTTGGCAACTCCGCAGAAGAACCGAGCCCGTGTCGGGACGTGTATCACTAGGCGGACCCTCTGTGTGAGCAGGTGAGTGAATCATTAGCCTCGTTAGCTCTTCTCTGTGGAGGTTAGCGGCTCTTCCGTAGCAGCTGCTGCTAGCTTAGCGTGCTAACGTGTTTTGGGCTCCGTTTCTTCGCCATCAGGTGAAAACCTCGTTATATGACATTAATTTGGCCTCTAAGAGCCGCCGTCCGCCTGATTTAGCTGGTTGGCGCCGGAGAGTGACTTTTGTTCTGAATGTCATGTTTATTTTTCGACTCAGAAGATGATTAAACGACGGAACCAGTTAGCTTTCTTGAGTTGAAGGATATTGAACTGAAGTTGGGTGAAACTGGGGATGACACCAGTGACTGACCCTTCCACTGCACATGAAGAGCGTAACGATGGTTTTTGGTCGTTTCCCAGTGATGATGGGTGATATTTGATGCTTCGCTGTTGCTGAGCACTGATTTACATCAACCAACAAATGTTTATTGTAGGCACAATTTTAGAGAATTAATTGATAATATTCAGAAAAACAAACCAAACTAGCTTTTTAAAGGCAGAACTCTCAAACTATCAGCCCACAGAATAGAAAAAATGTCTGTTTGATTCATGGTCATCCTCCAGGTCTGCCTGAATACCACACAACTCAACAGGAAATGGCCATGGACGACACTGATGTAGAGCGTGAGTTACGGATTGTCTTTAGGGTTTACTGCTCATGTCATGTTTAAAATCAAATATGCATCTGCTCTCTAGAGGTGACGCTGGCTCTGCTGGATGCAGCCAACGACAAAGACTCCGAGGTCCAGGATCAGGTCCGAAAATCCATGTTGACTTTGGGAAAACAGCAGCCAGACCTGGTCTTGGCCATGTGCCAGGATTATCTCCTGCAGCACCCAAAGGTAAAACCCTCCAGATACCTCAAACTTAATCAGATCTCCTCATTTATCCATCAGGTTTTTGTTATCGGTATTCTTGTGCACCAGGTCATGGGTCAGGTTAGGTCAGAAGCTGGTTTACACGGCAATAAAATGCAAAATGGTACTGGTCAGCAGTAGTTTCTGTGGAAGAAAGTAATTATTATAACATTCCTGTTGGTAACGCTGGAGGAATGACTTTAAAAGCTGTGTTGTCCTTATTCAGACTTGCTCTGCAGCGTGATGGGGAGTTGGGGTTGGAGGCGTATTTAAGGGTTTAGTTGGTAACGTTTAAGTTCAGAGCTGCTGTCTGCCCAACAAAACGAGACAGTCTCACTAGGATTCTCACAAACTCCAGTAGTACTGATGCTGGATCCAACAAGCTCCATTTAAACAGAGAAAAGCTTTTAGATGGCACGCGCTTCAGGAGGACCTACAACAACAACAACAGAAATTTGACTGCCTTTCATTCGAAACCTAAAGTTAAGTTCTTTTCTCTGTTTGAGAAAACTCTTTTAATAAAAGCAAACAAAGCTTCAGGTGTTTTTGTTCATGGAACAGCTGACCAGTGTTTCATTTTAGCATTTTCTCATGGACCCACATTTACTGAGGCAAGTTTTCGCTCATTCATGCTGGTTTTTCTGTTTTCATTGTCCTCGGCGTAATAAGCATTTGTTTCAAACTTTCTCAGAAACACACCTCTGTTCCCTTTTGCTGTTCGGATCCTCGTGTTGCGACTGGTCATGTGGAAGTCACTCACCTTTAGGGAACTAATGACTAATCAGCATTAACTATGTGAATTTTTGTTGATCAGCTTTGGCATGAGTTCATGAATGCAGCACAGCGTGAATGAGGAAATGAAAGTTTGTGTCATACAGCAGCAGGGTCGGGCGATGCCCGTTACCGTGGAAACTAGAACTCAGGTCACAAGTATGAGATTAATCCAGCAATAATTTTCTGGACTAAACCAGTTTCTTTAAAACACTTTTTATTTCTGACTCAAATGACTAAAATGAGATGATGTATTTAAAATCTGAGTCTTGATTTCCTGTTTCAGTCCAACGTGAATTATCCCGTGAGCCAATAAAGCATCTGATCACACTTTTCACCACTTCATCTCTCTTTCGCTTCCTCTCTTCATCACTCTGAAGACAGGTCTCAGGAAACAGAAGAAGTCCTCTCTGTTCTACCACGTCTCAGGGTTTCTGACATGTTCTTGGAGTCATCAAATGGGCTGTTTTCACTGAATTATAAATAAAATAAACTAGAATTAATTACATCACCAACATGATAAAACGTTTATGTGACCAGCTGGTGATTTTATTGATTTGAGACCCAACAACAAACCCCCTACGTTTACACATTTGAAAGCTGACATGATTTTAGTCTTCCTCATCATTCTGCTGCTCCTCTGCAGTTGGTCGTGAGCCACAGAGTTGTGATCCTCCAGACCATCGAGCTGGTTGTCGGCTGCAGGATAGAGGAGCTCAATGTTCCCAGAATAAAGAGCCTCATCTCCCTGGCCTCAGAGGAAATGACCCGGTCAAAGGTCAGCTGATCCATGTAATGGTGCAGTGGTGTGGCTCTTTTGGCCATAATAAACACAACTTTCTGTCATGTTTGAAACAGGAGGTTATCTCTGAATGGCAGCAGGCAGCCAGTAACATCCTGGTTGCCATTGGATACAAACACATCAACGACATCATGGAGGAGATCCTGAGCAAGTTCCAGCCGGGGGTCCTTCCTCACTTCTTTGTGGTCCAAACACTCGCCAACCTGTCTGACTCCAATGGTGAGACTCTGCTTCCCCTTACAAGCAAAAGATCCGACATGCACCGAAGGGGAAGTTGCACGTTAAGTTTGAGGTGGTTTAGTGACTGTCCAGAACCGGTTTAACCTGCTCAGGAGCAGCTTTTCGAGCCCAGCGGGTCTTAAACCTGGAGGATAAATCATTGACAGCCCGCTGAGTTTCCATGACCAGATAAACACAACAACTTTAAAGGAGGTCTCAGGTGTAGACCATCGACATATATATTGGACAGTTCATTTCCATAGGCTCCAGTAATAAGTTTTTGGGCTAAGATGGGAGGTGGCCACCACCGCCATTTTGACCGTGTCACAGGTTCCGTCAAGCCCAGACAATTCCGTAAAAGGGAAAAGAGGTGGAGCTGAGGGTGGGGCTGTAAGGCTGGGATCAACTGACGACACCCGGTCGAACTAGCTACAAGCTAACGCTTAGGTGGGAGTTAAGCTAACGGAGGTAGCAACCTAGCTACAACCGGAGTTAACTGTGCACAACACCAGAGCTTCTGAGTCAGAGATACGCCGGGCTGACTGCTGGGTAAAACCGGGTGGAACACAGAGGTCTCCGAGATCTCCACAAGCCGGCAGCTGCACAGCAGACAAGTGCCGCTGCGATCTCAGATGCGCAGAGCTGCCGCTCAGGAGAACCGGGTGGAAAGGTTTCCATCCCAGAGCTCCACAAGCCGACAGCCCGCGCAGCGCACAGAAGCCGCGATCAGACAGAGATGCACCGAGCTGCGGGGAGGGGAGAACCGGGTGGAAAACATCGGTCTCCCGAGAGCTCCACAAGCCGATAGTCAGAACCCAGCTCCACCAACATGTTGTATTTCAACCCATTTTCTAAAGTGCAGCATTATGTTAAATGCACTGGGTTTTACCCTATTGCATTTAAATTTCATGGTTAAACAGTACATGTTAAAATCTAAGCTCAGCTCGGCAGTGACCTAAAATACATAAATATAATTTTACTTACCGAAAAAAATGAAGTGGAGACTCCTTGGACACTCTATTAGTGCAATTAATGCCACAGCAAGTCATTTTGTCCAACAATTGCACAAATAATATCCAAAAAGAATACACAAACACAGAGACTCAAAATCCCGGAACAGTTTCCAAGCCAGACCGAGGCTCTACTGAAGCCTTTCCACGGAGCTAGCTCTGTGGTCTCGTGGGTCTGATACTCATTAATTATACAGAATTTTAGGCTTTTAATATATAGGAAACATTCTTTCTGATTGGCTTAATGAACTGTGAATTGGAATGTTTATTATGTGAAGTGCCTTGAGACGACTCTTGTCGTGATTTGGCGCTATATAAATAAAATTGAATTGAATTGAATCGATACACTTAAACAGAAGAGTGAGAAAAAATTTACCCCCCTCAGAGTTGTCATGAGTGTAAAGCCGGGCGTACACTGTGCGACTTTTTCACTTTTTTGAGCCGATTTTCCAGTCGTGCGAGAAGCCACAACATCGGGGCGAGTTTTGCGCCGAGCGGTCGTGTAGTGTACAGGGGGTTACGAGAGGCGATTAACACCACGTGACCAGCCGCCGATCAGCAGTCGTGAGGTCGCAGGGACTTCTGGTGTGTTTAATATTTCGCTCGTCCCTCGTGAGGGTATCGCACTGTTGAAGCGGCGCTGCGAGCAGCTGCGATCCAAAAAGTATCAGAACCGCTCACGGCGCATGCGCGCGCAATCCTGCATCAACGCCGGCCGGTCGCTCGCTATTTCCCTAATAACACACGCTGTTCGTTTTTGTTTCTACACATTTTTTTACTCACAAAGATTGTCAAGAAAGCGTGTTTGTCGTGTTCATGTCAAATTAAACTGATCACAAAACACAGATTCACTTTCTTTATTTCGTTTTCCTCATCCAACTCCCATAAATCCCTGTGTGTCCTCCTGCAGCACTCCTGAAGGACAACAGGCAAGACAAAAAAGTCTGACGTGTTGAGTAAAAACTGCTATTTTTAGCACATTTTTAGGGCCGACGTGTTGCTACCAGACGTACAGTGTGAGCAGTCAGGTCGCATGCGAGAACTGGGTCGTACAGTGTGAGCACACGACTCGTGAGATCTGCTCTGCGAGGAAGTCGTACAGTTTGAGCTGAAGCTGAACGCTGCGAGTGAAAAAGTCGCACAGTGTACGCCCAGCTTAAACTAGATCATTTAAACCAAAAACATGTGTTGGAACCAGGCTGTAAACATGTTTATTTCTGCTGTAAAACTGGTATTTTTAACATGGCAGTCAATGAGGATTTGCTCGCTTCTGATACCAGCCCCCAGCGGATGAGGGTGGAACTGCAATTTTTGGTACTTCCGGGTTGGACTCAATTTTTGAGCCGCATTGTGGGGGCTTGGTGTAGACCCATGAGTATTTTAATGTTTTAAATGGTTACGGGTGAATGCAAACAGCTGATTAGTCTCGGAGTGAACCATTCTTAGACCTCGCTTGTCAGAAACAACTCTGAGCTGTGTTTATCCCAACATTCCCGCTGGACACACGATCAAAACCTCAGAGTTTTTGCTCCCGACGTTGTTTCACTTCGAATCACTTCAGTATTAAATGTTCGCATCGTTGCTTAAACTGATTTTCTGATATAACTCTTTAATGCTGATCATGTTTTCCTGATTTTAGGAGGCAGTTGAGATAGTAAAGTGCTTTCATTGTTCTCTAGTTTATGGGATGGTGCCGTTTCTGAGTGCTATTCTGGGCACCATGCTGCCAATGCTGGGCCTGGCCAAACAGGACAACATGAAGTGGGTCTTCTCATCTGGTGAGAACCTCATGTTTGTTTGTCTGACATTTCTGTCCCCCTGCTGTTATTCTAAGACCACCTCATTTCAGTTCAAGGGTTCTGTCAGACAAAATGCAACTCTCTCTGTTCTTTTGATGAGTCGGTGCGTTTTTCCTTTTCCTCATCTGGTTTCTTGGCTTCGTTTTCTTCCTGCAGCTCTGTGCCATTTCAGCGACAGCATTTTGGAGTACCTGGCTAACCTGGACAAAGCTCCGGACCCCACTGTCAGAAAAGACACCTTCTCTAACGAGATCTACATGGCTTTTGACATCCTCTTCAATCACTGGTTGCAGAGCAGGGAGTCAAAGGTGGAGTCACTCTGCGTCGGTGCTGTGGGTTAAGCAAGATCAGACTAAATGCACACGTATTCTGCTGAGTCATGTTTAGTCAGTAGTAAAGGATTATGGTTTTCCCACTAACCCGGGTCTGGATCTTTAGCCGAGACCAGGCAGTCGTAAGGTTTCCACCAACGTGCTGCTGCTCCGACTCCGAGGCCCTTTACGGGAATCCTGAGCCAGCGTGGGGCGGTGGGATAGCAACAGCATGCAAATAGCAATGTAATACATACAATATTAGAATCATCGCCTCATGGAAAATAGTTCAATTAGAAGGTCTAAAATGAAGAACACTCATTCGGATGCGGTTAGTTTTACTTTAGAACTTTACCTGAACAGGTAAAAGTGAGGCTAAGCCCAGCTCTCTTCCTTTGTTCCCATGAGCTCCATCGATTGTCCGGGGCATCACAGAATTTTTGGTGTGATTCTGGTCAGAGTTGAAGTTGCAGGCAGCAAACCTGCAGCTCGTCACTCAGCCTGTCACGTCTGTCACCTCATATCCCGCCTGTCTTCCTGTCTGCTCCAGCTGAGGCTGACAGTGGCCGAGGCAGTTGGCTCCATGTGTCATCTGATGCCCCGTGACAAGCTGGAAGAGCAGATCCCCAGAATCATTCCTGCCATCATGTCTCTGTACAAGAAAAACAACGAGCACTACATCGTTAGCAAGGTGGGCACAAACTAACCAGTCTGTGTGCGCTGTTTGATGGTCTTTAACTCCTCCTCCTTGAGTCATGCTTCCGATTTGAAAATGTCAAATGAAACCCCACACTGGACTTGGTTCTCTCTCTTTATGTTGTTTTGTGTAACTAGAGCTTGTGCCTAGTTCTGGATGCGTCTGTCAACATGGGCAGCAGAGTGCTGGAGACTCAGCTGGAAGGACTTCTCTTTGTGCTGCACCAGCAGGTACACTTAAGGACGCGGCTCCAGCAGTTTTACATGAAGTGGTCAATTTACTGTCGTGACTTAGCCGCAGCGTTACACAATTCTTGATGTTGCAACAATTTCATACAAAGAAGAGCTACTTAGATGAGTTTTAAGATCGTTGTCTCTCCAAATGTAAAATGTGTCGTTTGAATGGGTTACGATCGTTCTTTTTACTGAATTGTTTGGATTGATTTCCTGTTAGATCTACTAGCACCGGTAGATAAAGTTTTCGTCTCTCTGCTGCAGGTTTCTGCCCCTGTTGATTACGGCGACCCACCAACTGTCAAGAACCACAACGAGGTCCTGCGCTGCTTCAGTTTGCTTGGTACCCATTTATTCATCTGTTGTGTGTTGTCCAGATTAGAGTTCTGTCCAACAAGCTGCTGTAGTCGTGTTGGTCACATGTGCAGTAATAAGATCACACTGATGACATCACTACTGTGTTAAACTCTGTCTCCTCCTCAGGATAATCATGTTAACTGTGAAAGTACTGTTGCCCGCTTTATTTTTCCTTTTTTTGTTTAGATCTTGTGATTGACTGTTATAATGCATGCTAATTTCAGGATCTCAAATGTTCTTTTCTTGTTTTTTTCCACTCTTCTCCCTTCAGCCAACTCTTTCCCAGATCGACTGGTTATGTCTGTTCTTCAGAAGTTGGAAAACAGCCATGAAAGAAGCAAGATGGGCTCCCTGGCTGTTCTTCGTCACCTCATCAACTCCTCCAGTGAGGAAATACAATGTTCCATAGTTATGAATTATTCCACAGGCATTAAATAGTGACTGAGTATTTTATTTAGCATTATTAGACATTTCCATTTTAATATATTTATATATGCTGCAGCTTCTACAATGGAGAGAAAAAAGCTTCTAATACTGGCGAACATTAGACAGCCAATGGCAGACCACAGCAACAAGGTAAAGACGGGTTGAATTTCTTAGCTGCTCCTTAGCGTGTAATCTGTTAGGATTTATTTTTTATCTGATGGTGATATTTTGGGGTCCTAGGTGAAGAAGCGCGTGGTTCAAGTAATCAGTGCCATGGCTCATCATGGTTACCTGGAACTGGATGGAGGAGACTTGCTGGTTAGATTCATAGTTCAAAACTGTGCTTTACCAGACACTTACCAGGTAAGTCATGCTTTTACTTAAACCTAGGGATGTGTATTGTAAAAATATGGCAATGCGATACGTATCACGATACGGGAGAGACGATGCAATATATTGCGATAGATTCAGCCAGATAATATTGGCGAATTTTTTTTTATACTGAAATTAGGAAAATTCAATAAACAGTCCAGAATGATACGTCACATGTTTAACATGAGGTATCCGAACCATAAGAGAGGGATTTACATTTCAGTGGTGGAAACAAAACCCACTGCACACTGCTGCCACCTAGCGGTCGGCGTTTGAATTTTACCAAAAGAAAAAAAAAATACACAAATGTGTGCATGTGAATTCTTCTGAAATTAGATGCACGGCTTTTGAATATCAAATAATATTGCAGGAAAACATGTTGCCATATCGATATTTTCTTGCATTCCTATTAAAACCCTTTCATCATGTATTAATTTTCTGTTCAGTACTTGAACTAGACCACTACAACATGAGAATTGTCTAAAAGAGATTAATCTTATCTGAAAGTCATGTTTTTGTGTCACTACTGCAGTAGTTCATCCATCGAGTTTAGGATTAATTGTCAGGGTTAAGTGGCTTAAGAAAGAGAGAGAAAGAAAGAGAAACAAAATCTCTAAAAATGAGCAGAAACGAGACAGAAATTCTATTAAAAACAGCTTATATATATATATTTTACCGTCTCCTGTCCAGCTGGTAAGCAGTCAAAATTGATGCCTGAATGCCGAAGACAAGACTTCCAATTTTATTCTCACAGATGGAGCCTTATAGCTTCTGCTGTAATGCCACGCCTGATACCAAAACTTTATTAGAAATATTTTTGGTTGTTTAAAATCCCAACGGAGACAGAAGTGAAAGATTTATTTATTTAGTCAGGATCCCCGGTAGTTGTTACCATGGTAACAACTATTCTTCCTGGGGTCCGCAGGAGAAAGGGAAAGGGACGGAGAGAGAAGGAAGAGGTGAGGGAGGAGGCTTCACAAAAATAACCAATAAATGATGATTGATTACCCTGGGGGTCACAACCAGCAGCCGCCAGAGCCCTGGGAGATGCGCCCCAGGGCAGCTGTGGCTACATCGTAGCTCATCACCATCAGTGTGAATGGATGAATGATGCACTGTAGTGTAAAGCGCTTTGAAGTCCTCCTGAAAGGCGTTATACAAGTGCGGGTCATAACAAGGGCAAGCCCCCAGGCCCGCGCACAGCCGCCCGCCCTGAAATGGCCAAGCTCGGAACACCGCGGTCCGGGACCAAAGGGCGACTAACCCCGCCGAGGACCCGACAGAGCCCAGCGGTCCAGACCCCACCAGGCGGCCACTGGGAGCGACCCGATAGATCCCAAAAACTTCCCACCCCCGACACGGGTGTTGCAGCTGTGCAGGCAGACCGAGGCACCACCCACCGGCAGAAAAAGTGGCTGTGGGGAGGGCAGGCGAAGATGTTGCAGCACCACAAGATGTCCCAGGAGAGGCGAAGAGTCCAAGACCCCACCTGACAGAAACATTCACACACAAACACAGTCACACACTCCCACCCTCATGCTCACACAAACACATACAACCTAAAGACTTACAAGAATGTACGTACTCACGCTCCCCATACACACCCTACTCACTCCGGTCCCAGTACTTCTGCACAGAGGGCACAACCATCCCCGGACACCAGAGCTAGCCCCGTTCTGCTGGGGTAATGATGAACAAAGCGACACACCACCTCAGACCCCAACCTGAAGACCAGCTCCTACTCCTAGCCCCCAGCTCCGAACAGCTAACCGAGAACAGAGGTGTGATGAGCCCTCGTCTCTCTCCGCCTGCTCCAACACACAGCTTTTTTAAGCTATAATAGTTCTATGGTCTAGACCAGCAGTTCTCAGTCCAGGTCCTGGAAGGACGGTGTACACAGTTTAGTGGGTTGCAACACACTTGACTCAGTGGTTCAATCGTCTGTGCAGCAGCACATCAAGCTCTGCTGAAGCCTGTTTATTTCCTGCTGATTGAATTCAGGTACATCTAAATAGGGTTAAAATGAAAACAGGCTGGATGCCGGCCCTTCAGGACCTGGACTGAGAACTGCTGGTCTTTGCACGAAGTCATCTAGCATAAAGAAATCTCAGAAGCCTCCCTAATCATCTCATAAAGGCATGACTTCTAAATCCAGATACCAAAACAAAGGCTCTGTGCCCTCACTAATCTGCTTTCATTGGCAAATTAGTTATCATCACTCCTGGAACATACAAAAACGGAGCTGAGAGCGGGGCTCTGAGGGTGGGGGCAGATGATTGACACCCAACAAACGCAACCAATGTAGCTATGAGCTAAATGAGGCTAATGGGCATTAAAATTCTTGTTGGATGAAAGGAAATAAACAAAGAAGAATATCTGAGCACACATGTAACACTCCCAGTACTACTGGGAATATCCAGACTTTGACTGAATTCCAGATAGATCCGCAGCTTGCATATTGAGTTATCCGGATACTGTACATAGCTGTAGAGTTCCTAGCTGCAGGTTGCATCATGGAGCCATCGTACCAGTCAGCACTCAGCTCATTAATATTCATGTCCAGGTCGAGTGAGTGGGTGGGTTTTACCAGTCTTTCCTTTACCGGGTTGTGTTTGGTCATTTGTCAGGGCTCCTGGGCAATTTTGAGCCCCAACAAAGTTTCATGTGCAATCCAGAGGCTCTAAGAACAAAAACGATGTTCTAGGAAAAATTCACTTATTGATCTTTTTTATTCAGTTGCTAAAATTAAAAAGTTTCGTCATGTTTGCAGAAATTTTTTTCTTTTTTTGAGTAATTTTTTATGAAGTTTCGCCTGTTGGTCATAATACAGCCAAATGTGTGCTGTGTCATCAGAGGGGCCAGAGGCCCATGGATCCAGAGGAGGTGACAAATGAAGCACTGAGGACGATGTGTGACAACACCCTCCACCTCCTCACCACCACCGTTGGACGACTGGCGGATGTAAAAGTCTTCCTGTGTATAAAAGTGATCTCATAATGGATGAATGTTGAGGTATTTAAAGTGACTGTTTCCTGTGTGAAGGTGCTTTGGCCCAAGCTGTTGTACTACCTGACTCCTGTACAGTACAGCAACGCCACCACGCCTCTCTGTAAGAGTCTCATCGTGCTGGGCAACAAGAAGAAAAGTAACCAGGAGCCCAGCTTCAACATCGACTTTAAACAGGAAGGTGGGTGACATACATGTAAAATCATTCAGTTTTTTATTTTATTTATTTACTTATTTATTTTTTTTTGACAAAACATTTAAGTTACTGGTGGCCATCTCTGTGAAAGCCATTTCAATCATTACGGCTAAAAAATGCTCTAGGAAAACACAATACACCCACCTGGCTAGAAGATAACTTCCTTCAGTTAAACTCTAAAAGACTGAATGTCTGATCATTGCCCCTGAGAGCATGGTTCCCCTGATTGGTCTAAAACGTGGTCATTTATCCTCTGCCGTCAAGACGAACTTAAGAAATTTGGGTGTTGTTTTTGACTAACCGATGTCTCTTGAAGGTCACCCAAAAACGTTGGTCCAAAACTGTTTTTATCATTTAAGAAATATCTCCAAGCTGTGAAGGTTTGTGTCAAAACATGAACCTGAAATTGTTCTCCATGCATTTATCTCCTCCCGTCTAGATTACTGTAACACACTTTTTACACGTTTTAACAAAAAAGCCCTTGACCGCCTTCAGTTGGTCCAGAACTCTGCAGCGAGGCTCCTAACTGGAGCAAACAGAAGAGCACACATCACTCCTGTTCTGATGTCTCTCCACTGGTTACCCGTTAACTTTATAGTTCATTTTAGAATCCTGACTAGAACTTTCAGGGCTCTACATGTTCAAGCTCCTCCCTATATAACTGAACTGTTAAAGCCTTATATATTAAGCCTTATATACCCGAGCCCTCAGGTCCACCCTCCAGAACCTTCTAGAAGTTCCAAAGACCAGATATAAAAGTCGAGGTGATCACTCCTTCCAGACTGTTGCACCCCGACTTTGGAACGATCTTCCTTTATCCTTACGCAGCGTTGACAGTCTGGACACTTTAAAGGAGACATAACATGCTTTTAAGTTATTCCTTTTTACATCTAAATCCTTCAGTTGGGGTCTAAATACAGTGGAACTGCAGTTCTTTGGTCTGATTTCCTCATTATTGTTGCTCTACAGACCCTCATCTACCCCTGTTCTGAGGAGAGTCTTGAGAATGAGCCGTTTTTGGGTACTGTCTCTTTAAACTGGAGGAGGAGCTGTAAACTCCTCCCCCAGTTGGACTTTGTAGTTCTATAGAGAAATCATTATTTAGCATAGCAGATTTAGCATAGCATATTAGCATTTTTAAAACATGTGGGGAGAGTAGTTCATCAAGCTGTTTCAAGGCTGCTAACTCTCTCATGCATTTGTCTGTAGTCACTCACACACACCCGTCACTGCCGACGGAGGGACAAGCGAGCAGGCGCGCGCGCACACACACACACACACACACATACACACACGCACATCCGTCACGGCCATAGACTGTACATACACACACACAAGGAATGCTGCTTGCTTATTTATTTCTATAAAAAATGTTTTAAAAAATGATACAGCTCATTAAAACACCATTAAAAGAATATATTTTATTAAGATCTCTATCTATATATATACAGACATATAATTATAAATAATTTTATAAGTAGTCTTATTTTATATTGGGTGTCTTAATGGCTGAAAATGGATAAAAAGCAGTTACATTTTAATTTAAAGATTTGAGATTCTAGTCAAAAATAAAGAACATTCCTCCAAATGTTCTTTAATGTGATCATTATAATTCTAATGCTTAGAACTTTGTTTCTATTGTCTGCAATGCGTAGCCTATATCTTTATTAAATGTGTTTAGCTGTAAAGTGGTAATTCTCTCTAATGTGTACACAGAGGTGGACATCAGTGCTGCAGTGAAATTCCCAAGATCAGTCTGCTTTGCTAACAAATATAGTTAAATCTTACCTGCATTCTAAATAAATACCGTTAGGTGAAAACATCAGTAGGCATTGAGTTATTGATACAATCCCTAACAGCCAGAATGGAAGAAGAGTATGCTGGGTCATCCTGGATCTGAGCCTGTTCTGTGTATTTACCTACAGGATGCAATAAATGTCTACAAGGCTGAGTTTGGACCATTACATCTAAAATAAAACATACAATCAGTGATTTTTTAAATTGTTTACATTAATATACAAATTTTCTAAGTATTAACCTCACAGCAAATAAGTAGAACAATATAATAAACAGGCTTTAGTAGTTAAACAGGCGTTGTGCACACAGGTGCTTTGTGTCCCGGTGCTGTGGTGTCTAGGTCTCAGAGTTCCTGTCCTCCTGCCGTCTTCGGTTGTCCTCAGGATACGGATTGATGTTTCCTGATGATGAGGGAGGGGAAGTATGTGGGCTTCAAACTGGTCCTGGATAACAGTGGGAGACCTCCGTTGTCTGAATACTGAGGCCAGAGGGTTGGTGAGATGCAGATCTTCTCTACCTCATCTAGAAACGGAGTTGGTTCAGGGAAAACTTTTCCAAAGACCAGTTCCATGATGTCATCGCCATATTCTGCAATGATAGACAGTAACTTTAATGACATATTTTGTTTACAAGCAGCTTTAGGAAAGTTGTTTCTTTAGCTTTCATGTTTATAGTCACGTTTGTGTTTGTTCACAAGTTCACTTTGCTGCAGGGACTTCATATTCTTACAAATGTAATAAAATAGTGACACTAAAATTATACAAATGATTCCTTATGAAAGGAAGCTCATTAGAGAGCAGTGCAGACAGACTTACTACATGCTGCAGCTGTTTTTGTAGGCCAGCTGCTGCTGAACTTGGGGAAAGTTATTCTGCGCACATCCAGATCAGATGGTTGTTTACAGAAAATAATGTAATTCAATAATTTCTAAACAGACTAAACAAGTAAAACATCAAATAAATCACTCTGCTGTCATCAGACGGAGGGATTCAGGGGGTGAGGTGTTCTTAATGATGAGGGTGGCTGAAGTGTGTCATCACTCACTTTGGTCTGGTCCAGCTACCGTTTACTCAGTAGGTGACGTGAAGCTCCAACATCTGAACGTTCTGTGTTCCTTAGAGGAGAAGAAAAGTAACATTAGCAAGCTGGCTAAATTATTTTTTACTAGCATCTCAAGGACTTGGAGAAGCAGATCTTCACTTACCTAAACATCAGACCAGTTTGTCCCAGCTGAGCTCATCAGGGCTTTAGTCTGACAGCCTGTCAGTGAAACACGGCTCCAGCCTTCTGGATGTTGACTCTAAAAAGCAAAGGAACATTTTTACTTTTGTTTTAAATATTTTACAGCCGATTTTATCAGCTTTCCGACGCTCACGCTCATACAGACGGTGAGCTTTGCTGCGTCTGACTGATGCAGAGTTAGTTTTTATATCTGCAGTGAGACAAAAAACTAACCTCACTTCACTCAGAGATTGTTCTTTAAAACTATTAAATCCACTGTGTTGACGCACTTTAACGACTTTGTCACGCTGCATTTTAGCTGATATGGGACTTTATTTACTGGGACTTTATTTACTGGATGCTAAGATTACATCACACTCACGTAAAATAACACACAGGCTCTCTGCTGCTACAATCAGTGGATGTACATCTGGTGTAAAAGAAGGCGTTGATCAGAAATCACGTTTTATTCCACGAAAATCAGCCAAATCCACATTAATCTGGGTGCTAACTTTACTAGCATACTGTGCTAGCGATAGCAAGCCGGATGCTAACGTTTTAGTGCTGCTAATGCCCGTAAATCTAAAGTAAAGTTTGTCGACATTTTAGAGTGATATGAAGCTTACCGCTCTGCTGCTGTGTCCCGTTGCTGCCACATTCAGATGGAAATGACTAATTTTAGATAGATGAAGCCCTCAGTACTTACTAGCCTGGAGACACGAACGAACCGCGTGCGCACACACACAAACACAAACACAAACAAACAAACAAACACACTACTTTTTCTTCTGTTTTTTTTAGCAGTAGTGTCATCAGCTCCTGGGTTTAAATACTGCCACACCACCCTTCCTTAAAACGAGGAACAGTTTTGAGCTGTGTGTGGCTAAAATAACCAGACATTCTGCATTTTTCCAATAGGACTACATAAAATCTTAGCAAGAAGAAAAAATGGCGGATTGGCTCTGTGTTTAGCTGAGGGCCATTACCATATTTGGTAGTTATCCTGACGAAATAAATTACTGATGTAATAGATAATTTGAAAAACTGAACGGGTGGACAAATATGCCCAAAACTTAATTATTAAATATCTAAATAGCAACTCCAGTGAATAATATAAGCCTTTTTGCTCACTTAGACACTTAAAATGTGAAACACACCGTGTTAATGGATAAAAAAGTGGGTTTTTCATGTTATGTCTCCTTTAAAAAAACAGCTGAAGACCCTTTTATTTAAAGCTGCTTTTAACAAAAAATCTAATTTTCTTATTTTTAACTCAAATTTTTTAATCTTTCATCTGTTTATGATCATTTATAATTTTATGACTTTTTTTTCTGATGTTAATCTAATTCTGTCTTGAGAGATGTTTATCTATTTATGATTTTATGGCTTTGTTTTATTTTGTTTCAATCTATGTGAAGCACTTTGTGATTCTATGTCTGTGATAAGTGCTATATAAATAAAATTAACTTACTTACTTGCCTTTCTCAGCCCCTCTGAGTTTGCAGGTATGAGCATAATAAATGGCTAGCTAACAGGTGCTGCTGCGCTGAAATTCACTAGTTCAGAGCAGGTCAAAAAACACGACATCCACTCTGAGTTATTGTGTATTTTGCTCAAATGTGTTTGCATATTCATAGCGTTTGCTCCCTTTGATGATATATCTACTTTACAAGTAATGCAAGTGGCCCTGTTATCATCCTTTCTTGTAAAGTAGAATCAAACTTTCGAGCATTTGTGCCGCTTAGGTGCCATGTTTCCTGCTGAGTAAATATGAAAGCTATGCTACGTCTGTCATGACCAGGGCTGAACGATTCTGGAAAATCGACAGTCGAAACATTTCACGTGAGCGGAGCCAGACTCGAAACAGAAGATGTAAAAAAATAAATTAATAAAAACTGCTTCAAAGAAATTTGCAAACACAAACTGAACCGGGCATTTGGTCTGTTAAACCATCTAGCTTGGTTCCGGCTTCAATTCCTCTTACTGCTCTGAGCCGAGAAAATGCAGTTGGTGCCCTCTGCAAAGGAGGGAGAGAGATGTAGAGGTCTGTTTGATTGATGGACCATGATCCAATCTTTAGGAATGGGACTTTTACCGTGACTGAGGTTTTTCCAGGGTTGTATGTTTCAGAGACAAAGATTTATATTAATCGACTCAAATGTTAAAAATAAATTTAGAATTACAATACATGACCTGGGATCCATCTAATTTAGTGTTTTTGTCTTCATCAGTTAACCTTCCATCTACTCAAACACTCATGATCAGACTTATGGTAAGCAAACTTGGTGATTAATAGTGCTACTCTAACTCATCTGTAGTTTTTAACACTACAGTTTTACTTGAATAAATGTAATGTTTCCTGGTTTGTGTTGAAACCTTTTAGGTCAATGCTGCGTTCCCGTTCAACTGCAGAGGTCACGGAGCTCCGTCGCTGTCTGTCCTTCAAATCCTGAGCGTTAATATTCACCCAAACACGGAGAAGGTCTGGGAGAAGGAGATCCCTCCTTTGCTTTCGCAGCTAGAAGGTACGGAAATACATTTGTGCGACTTTATTCATATTAAGCCACGATTTTTTGAGGAGGACTGGGCCTTACGCTTGTTGGCTGGATAAAGAGCGGCACATGAAATTCAAACGTGGGTACACGATCCCAGCTGGGTGACGGTTGTATTATTTTTATTTAGATCAACATGCCTGGCAAGTAAGTCTGGCCTAGCTAGTGAGAGCTGAATTAGACCAGTTCTTGGGTCAAAACAATAATGAAATAAAACAATTACCCTCACATCTACGTTTTTGAAACATCTGTTCCTAACTTGACTGTATAACTGCAGGAATCTTCTGGCTGTTTTTGCATTTATAAAGTTCTCTGACTTTACGATGTTGTTGTTTATCAGAATCAACAGCAGAGAGCCTGGATGAGGGGTGGGATGACCAGATACTAAAGGTAACTGAGTGAAAATGTCATTTACAATCATTCCCTCTTAAATAATAGGTTGTTTACTTTTAGATAGGAGGAAGCAGAGACTCAGCTTTCATTTCAAATGTTGATTTGGTAAAAATTAAAGCCTGAAATTGTCTCCAGCTGTTGTCTAAAACCCTGGCATCAGTTCACGATGACAAGTGGGTGTGTCAGCTGGCAGCTGAAGCAACGAGATACCTCTCTACGTACAACAACGCCCTGGAGGAGAAGGTGAGTGTCATTACTGATGGGCAGGACTCGCTTCTCCAAATCAGATACTCTATAGATGCTTGTCAGATATTTAATCACTTTATGAGGATGTGCACTGTGCAAGGAGAGCAGACCCAGTTGAGAAAACCTTTCAGATCAAATATATGCTTACATGCAGAGTTTTCAGTTTTATTACAGAAGAACATTCTTGCTGTTTGTCATCATTTTCTTTAGTTTCATATTTTCTACTCCTAATTCAATACCAGCCTCAGTCGTGCTCTCCGTCAGTTTTTACCGCCTCCATTCTGACGGATCAATGCAATCTTTCCCTAAGTCTGGATGTGTCTTAGAAGCATCAGGCCTGAGTTTTACAAGTAAATTCAGTCCTAACAATTCCAAATGTCTTCTGATGTTTCCTATCACAGTATATTGTATCATCTTCACAGTATTCTCATCCATATCGTATTGATCCATGACTATACGGTCTTACTTATAACCAATTCAATTCAAGTTTATTTATAAAGCGCCAAATCACGACCAGAGTCGTCTCAAGGACCTTCACACAGTAAACGTTCCAACACAGGTCAGTTCATTAAGCCAATCAGTAAAAGGTTTCCTATATAAGGAACTCAGCAGGTTGCATCGAGTCACTGACTAGTGTCAGAGTCTTTACAGCAATCCTCATACTAAGCAAGCATGCAGTGACAGTGGAGAGGAAAACTCCCTTTTAACAGGAAGAAACCTCCAGAGGATCCTGGCTCAGTATAAGCAGTCATCCTCCATGACTCACTGGGGATGGAGAACACACAACTCACACACACCTAGCTGGAGGAGGACATAAACACACACATACATGTATACCGGGTAGTGTTTCTATGGTTACATTGTGATTTCTTAGTAAATATTCTATTTGGTGAGAGATAAACTTTATTGTATTTATCCTAGTGGATCTATAATTAAACGGGTAAACTAGTAGTAGCACATTAAATGTCAAAGAGAGTAAAATGTTATTATCAGGAGAGGAAGAATGTTCAAGTCACATGTGTCAGACACGAGGCCTGCGGGCCAGATGTTAGCTTCTGGTCATTTTTGATGGGAAACTTGGCCATTTGGTATGCTACACTGTGTACTTATTAAAAGGATTTTAACGTTTATCCCATCTTCAGAGTTTCCTGTATCGATGTATCGGAGTGACTCTTCAGCATTGTTTCAATAAGGAGGTGGTAAAAAAGCAGCTGCAGGAAGTCCTCCTTACAGCACGACACAACGATGCTCTTGAAAGAGAGGTAAGAAAGGCGGACAAAACTCAAGCCTTGTTGCTTTGGTACAGTTTGGTGTGCACTGGCTTTAATGTCAGGATTTTATCATTTGGATTGAATTCCTTCCATTACCTTTTTATTAACTATCTGTATGTTGCATTGCTGTTTTTCTTGTTGCACTGTTGGCTTGACTCTTGTTGTACAGCACCTTCATACAACTTTGTTTGTTTTTAAAGAGTTTTATAAAATAATTGACATATTTTCTGTTTTCAGGGAGTTGCCATGGGCGTCGGTTTGTGTGCCAACAGCCACTTAGAGGGAACTTTAGCCAAGCTCGATGACTTTAGCAAATCAGAAGCCTTCAAAAAGTCACCAAGTATCTTCAACTTGCTAAAGGTCATTTAAACATCTCAATATTTTTGTGGGATGGATGGAGGAAAATGGCTTCACTCCCTTTCTTTTCCACCACAGGAGCGTAACGATGTTGAGGTGGAGAAAGTTAAAAGCACATTAATTCTGTGCTATGGACAGGTGGCCCTGAACGCACCACCAGAAAAGATTCTCAACCGCATCGATCAGGACATCTTACGCTCCATCAGTAAACACTTCAATACCAAGGTAACACACCACACAGTCCACAAGGGGCTTGATTTTCCTACGACCCCGTCATGTTGGTTACTGAATGTCAGATTTTATCATCGGTTTGATCCAACGGCTCGAGATGAACAGGTCGAGTTTGGAAGGAACAAACTCGACCTGTTCATCTATGCTCTCTTTCTCATCCTCTTTCTTCCTTGCTCTCTCTCTCTTACGCCCGGAACACGCCGGACACGGAAGCGTGACGATGAGCTGTGGAACGACGAGCGCTTCTAACCGGCGCCCTTATTAACATACGCTCTCGGTCACTTCAGCACCACGAAGCAATCGTTTCGGCGTGAGCTCTAGTTTTTCGTGAGCTGTGACTGAGCTGCCTCAATTCTGGCAGGAAGTCAAACCAAAGCAGAAGAGGCAGGCTGGTAAATTTAACAAAATAAAAGAGAAATTTCAAAATAAAACTCCACGATTGATAAATGTGGTAATTTTTGTGTATCTGAACGGTCTAGAGAGGTGAAAATGAACACACACACACACACACACATTCCTTTGGAGAAATGGCATTTCCATCATTTTAAATTCTGTTTTTACAGCAAAAGATGGATTTTATAAATGTGAATAAAAACAAATACACAGCAGCAGGATCAGCACAGTTTCTGATATCAACAAGCGGGGCACACTGGTTATACACACACACACACACACACACACACAGACAGCAAGGGCTCGGAGGTGGGGTTGGGGTGTTTAGAAAACGGTAGATGTGAGCAGAAGCGCTCGTTGATGTGTTCCGGGCATTTCTGTCTCTCTCTCTTTCTGTCGCTCTCTGTGTTTCTCTCTCTCTGTCTGTCTCTCTGTCTGTCTCTCTCTCTGTCTCTCTCTCTGTCTGTCTCTCTGTCTGTCTCTCTCTCTGTCTGTCTGTCTGTCTGTCTCTCTCTGTCTTTCTGTCTCTATCTCTGTCTGTCTTTCTGTTTCTCTCTCTCTCTCTCTCTCTTTTATTTATACACACACACACACACACACACATTTAGGTGTGGATAACGGTATTGCTTGCTTTCTAGTTTTATTATAAGGATTAAGATGTTTCATTACTTTTGTGGTAACTCCTCAGAGATCATGACAGTTGAGCCGATGCGTTCCTGTAGCGTGTCTGCAGTAAACCAGCTCTCGCCTCTCTCTTTATGCAGGTTCTGGGGATTAAAGTAGAGACAAAGGTATAGTTACAGGAACACAGGGGCTTTGATTTTCTGTCTTTGTTTAAGTTCTTATCTGTTTCATCTTAATCTCCTTTCCTAGTGTTTGCTTTCTGTCGGCCACACTTGTGATGTCAGATTTAGTTCATTAGTCAGGCGTTTGGTTCATAATAAACTGTAATTATTGCTACAGCTACGTTTTTCACCACTCTTCATTCTGGTTTAAATTCACGAGTTGAAAGGATTTAAACTTTTTTGACAAATAACAAATTGTACCAAATTGTCTTAAGTTAACACTGACAGCTTTTTGTCTTGTTTTAGCTGTTTCCCTGCTTCATAAGTTGGTCATAAGAAGGTCCGACAATATTAAGAAAGAGCAGGTCAGAGATGGCAGTAGAGGCTCGGTTTGTGGTGTAAATGATGTTAATCTGGCATAAACCCGTAATTTAGACAGACTGGCGCAGTGAGTTCCTGGATCCTGCTTATAAGGTTGTACGGTAAGCCCCGCCTACCTTGCCACCTATTGGTGGGTTTGATCCAGCTCTGAGTTACACCAACACATCTGATTGTTTTCTTAATTACCATAATTTAGCAACCCTAATCGGCCACGGGAACAGAACAATTATTTATTTTCCCATAAATACCACCATTGTCTTTGTTTTTAGCGAATGTAGTCTTCTAAGTTCTTCAGTGACATCACAAAAGCTTCAGCTACTCCTCAAGCTGCTACTAAACCCGAAACTTGGTCAAAATTCTAAGTAGGAGCTACATTTTAGCGTCATCAGGTGATGAAACAGCAAAACACACCTGCTGTTTATTATCCTTTTATTGTGAGTCATAGAGTACGTGTAAGTAGTGGAGGCAGGGTCCGTCTTTCTTCGACCTTCCTCTCTCTGTCCTCTGGACCGGTGTTCAGAAGCTCACCTGTAACCCGGACTCGGTGTGATGAGGCTGTTTTCGTTTCTCACTCATCTCTAACACTTGGTGTTTCCAGACTTCTGGCTCCGCTGGTGCTTCTTGGGTTGGATCCTGCAGACTGATTGCTGTTGTGTTAATCTTCTAATTCTGCAGCTCTGACTTCCACTTTCTCTCCATCCAATGGCATGGAGGGTATATCTGCGCCATCACTGGAGTGATTACAGTGACTCTGAGCTAGTTTGGGCTTTGGCATAGAACTGCTTTTTGTGTGCATCATGACTACCTAAATTCCACCTGCCTTAATAGTTTTAAGTTAATCTTTGTACTTTTTAAATAACCGTGTGTTTATCTCTAAGTCCTCTGTTTGCGTTACTCCCATGTGTGTGTGCGTGTGCGTGTGTGTGTGCGTGTGCGTGTGTGTTTTTCTGTGATTCAGGACCTGACTATGAAACTCAGTTTGATCCAGAGTGTCGGCCTCATAGCCAGAGCCATCAGCGAGTGTGTGAAGAAACAAGGCTACGTCTTCTCCCGCAAACAGGAGCTGATCAGCGTTATGTTGGTCTGTAGTATGATCACAACATCAAAGCCAAACTTGACTTCAGATTAATTCTACGGTTAATTTGTTATCCCACCGCCTGTTCACGCGACTCCAACCATCAGGATTTCATCAAGTCAGAACCAACTGATTCCATGAGAACTCCAGTACGCCACCTGGTGATGACCACCTGCTCCAACCTCATGTATCCTTCATTTCAGTGAGACGGTGATGCTTGCGGTGACTCTGCAGGATGACCTCATAAGCTGCTCAAGCCTTACCTCACACACACTAGCTTTCACTCATAAATCATGTTCCTTTAACTGTGAGCGCTTCAGACCTCTGGACCCTCCACTCAGTGAGAGTGAGAACTTTGACCTGCTGAAGGTGTGTGTGAACAGTGTGTTTTCTCTCCCACCTGAAACACACACTCCAGAGAAGACAAAGGAGGAGGAGATCCTCGACCCTAAGCAGAGAAAGGTGCTGTGGCGTAAGCCAACATTTCAGAAGGCGGCGATGTGACTAAACAAACGTTCTCTGACTGATCTGTCCAGGTTTTGTACAGAGACACACTGGCCTCTCTGCAGGAGCTGCTAAAGAGCATCCTGGCCCGAGATCACACACCTGAGGGTTTGCAGAGTGTCTTTAAGGTGAGGTGTGAGGTCATAACTACCCTGCAAAGGTGCATCGTGGATTTTTCAGGTGCTTTCTGGTGTTGGCTTGTACTGGAAGACAGTTCAGCTGTGCTACAATAAGTCATATTTACCCATAAAGCCCCTCCTCTAAGTTGGGTCT